GCTTTGCTAAGCTTGTTCTAAATAGGTGCTTTAGACCACTGAGCCATCTCACCAGCCCCCTACCTCCCACTTCTAAACACTGTCTCAGGCTTTCCCCAGTGCGCCACACCAGCCGTATTAATATTATCTAACATGCTTCTTGGGTCGGCCAAGTCTAACTCTGCACTTCCTTGGGCTTTATCCCAGGTAATATCTGTGAAATTACAAGTCTGCTGTGCTAGCACACCTTGCCTGAAACACATGGAAATCAGGATGGCTCTGGGTCCGCCACTGAAGATAATTTTCATGCCACAACTATCTCTTTAACCCTTCTGGTAATGCTGAGAGGTAGAAAGAGTTAGTTTCCTTTCACAAAGAAGGAACCAGGTGGGCTGGTGAGATGGCTCAGTGGTCTAGAGCACCTACTTAGAACAAGCTAAAGCAAGCAGAACACAGGGACCGGGGTTCAATCCCCCAGCACCACATGCCAGCCAGCCCCGCCCCCTGGTGGGCTGAGCTGGCCACACACACACACACACACACACACACTAAAAAAATTAAAAAAAAAAAAAAAAGGAACCAGGCTCAGAGGAGTTGTGTAGTCCTTGGAGGTCACACAGCCGTGTGTTCTTTCAAATAGCTTGGCAGGCTGAGTGCCTGCCTGGAAGGTGGAAGGACCTGGGTTTGATCCCTGGTACCACATGCTGTTCCAGCTCCGGATTTCCACAGGCATGCTGTGCCAGCCACCAGAACCAGGCATGGGGTTAAAACAACAAGGGGCCAGGGAGATGGCTGAGTGGAATAAGTGCTTGCCTGGCAAACACAAGGGTCTGAGTTCAATCTCCAGTTCTGCCAACAACAACAACAACAACAACCCAGATTGCATTTCACTTGGAGCATGGGCCACATCCTGGCATCTTGTGATCATCAGCCTGGGACCCCAGGTATCTTGGGGACATCAGCCCCCCCCCCAAAGCTACCACCTTACCCGGGCCAGGCTGACGCCAGCAGGGACCTTGTAGGGCACGTACTTCCTGTAGATGTGGCCCACTCTGGAGCAGGGGATGTCCTCCATGCGGCCCCCACACATCCATACCTGCAGAGGAAGGGAGCAAGGGTGACGTCTCTGCCTCCCTCAAAGCCCACTGCATCTGGAGGACGCAGCAGCCTGGCTATCACAGAACCCTGATAAGGGCAGACACAGCAGCAGCAGTCACGACACTGCTAACCATTGTACTCCAGTGCACAGATGCAGAAACTGAGCAGCGACAGACTCTGTGGAGACTACGGGGTCAGGCAGTTAGTGGGTCTGGCAGGGCTGTGGGGTGAAGCCAGCCCTTTCTGCTTTTTGGGACAGGGTCTCACTAAGTTGCCTGGGTTGGGCTTGAACTTGAGACTCTCCTGCTTCAGCTACTGGGATTACGGTCATGCGCCTACACAAACCTTGTTTAAACTTAGTTTTGTCAAGATCTGGAGCCTGAGCCCTAAACCAGTGTGGATGGCTGATGCGCCACATGCAGAATGCTGGCTTCGGAGGCAAAATCACAGGCGCGAGCAGGATGAGGCAGCCTCCGGGTTCTATGCCATTAGCTGCACCGGCTGCAGCCTCTGCAGTCTCCCCCTAGGCCTCTGCCACTGACCAGGCCCCCTGAGCAGCCCACCTGCCTCCCTGCTCGAGCCTGGGGCCCATGCCCTGCCACAGGATGCTCTGCGTGGGTGCTGAGGCTTCTCCAGCATCTCCTCCCCGGGAGGAGCAGTTAGCATCCCAGGAGCTCCTGACTCTGTACACTGGTGTCACAGCAGGCTGGGAATTCCTCACCAGCATGTATAGGCCCCCGTGGCAGAGCAGCCTAAACAGACCCCCTTTAGTGGCCCTGGGTTCAAATCCTGACCAGGCCACTTACCAACTTTAAGACTTTGGTGGAGGTGTTTCTCGGAGGCTGTTTCTTCTTATGTAAAAAACTAAGTGAGAGATGGGGACTCGATTTTGCACAAGACACAGCTCAGCGTGGCAGTCACATTAGATGCTGTCACTATTAATTTGCGGGGGTGACATATTTATGGAGTCTCTGCTACAGGCCACACGTTATGTGGGGGACACAGCAGTAGATGAGCCCGGCAGAGAGCCTGAGCTCACGCGGTGGGGAGTGATCGAGAAGCCTCCAGGGGCCTGCTAATCCTGGCCTCTAGCACTTGTGGCTGCACGGGAGGATTGAGCACGGTCACTGGCAAGGCGCTGTGGAAATGATGGTCAAAGATGTGCCAGCTTGCTTCTGTCCCTCTGGGCTCACCTGCTTTGGGGAACCAGCAGCCGCGTATGAAGGCACTTAAGTACTACTCCAAGGAGTGCAGGGTGCAGCAGCACAGGGGAGAGCGCTTGCCTAGCATGCAAAAGGGCCCGGGCTCCACCCCAGCATCACACACACTCACACACTCACACACACACACACACACACACACACACACACACACACACAAGCATGCACTGAGTGCTGTGGGATATCCACGGGGGAGAGCACGGGCTTCCTGCCAGTGGCACAAAGCACCCAACCAAGCAAGCCTACAGAGGACCACAGCCTCCTGAGAGACCACGCCAGAACCATGGAGCGGAGTCACTCTCCAGCCCCAATGGAGAGAAGCCTGGAGGGAACGACTGTTAAATAGCTTATGCTAGGCTGCCTGGTATGGGGCAGTGTCCCCAGAGGTGTCTCCAGTGTCCCCTTGGCAGGTAGCTAAGGGACAGCCTCAGGAGGGACAGCAAGGGGCTGGGTGGGCGCGGGCGTGTGTGTGTGTGCGCGTGTGTATGGGGTGATATGGGGTGATGCCTTACCCCAGCAGACAGGGAGACTGGTGGGGCTGGCGGCTGAGGCAGGACTGTGTGACAGGAAGGCAGAAGGAAGTCACACGGAGGGCCAAGGGTGGGGGACAACAGAGCAAGAGGCCCAGTGTGGCACCACTACCAGAGAGGGCTGGGCTGGCGGGGGGCACTGCCGGGCAGGGGGCTGGAGCAGTGGGCAGCCTCCAGGGCAGTCAGGATGTCCACACGCAGTCCCCAGCGAGGGAGGGGACGCTGCTGCCAAGGGTGTTTCACCATGGTGGTTCTGCATGGGCTGAAGGAAGAAGGCCTGCAGGGCTGAGGCCCGAGACAGGACGGCTGGGGAGGCGCTAGCACGGTCCAGAGGGGGCAGGACCCCAAGGGTTCTGGGGCATTTTACTAATCTTATTTCTATCTTCTCACCTGAGGATAAGGAGCAGGAGAAATTGGGATACTCACACTGCCAGTTTTGTCAAAAGAGAGCCCTTTTGCACTTGAATTGCTTGAGGGGACTCTGGGGACTGGGCTTCAGGTCTTGGTGACTTCAGGGGCCTAGCTGGGCTGCTCCTCCCCCTCTCACCTAAGGCACCTGGGTCTGCCGCCTCCTGCCATCTCCGTCCTGAAGTCTAGGGCTACTCCGTCCCGGCTTCCCAGGAGGGGACGTGCATGGAGCTGCAATTAGCGGAAGTGCTGCTGGAGAAATGCAATTGCATTCTGATCTTGCGGGAGCAAAAGAACTGAGCCAGTCAATAGAACAGAACATTGGTCTTGAGATAATGGGCTTCTGATGGTAGATTAATGTCAAGGCCAGGCCAAGAAGTTTATTTTCGAAGCAGGAGATATTGATCAGGTGCCAGCATCCCATAACAATAACTCTCCCTTTATACCAAGTGATTGATGTGGAAGCGATCCTTTTGTCTGGTGCACGGTGCCCAGGTCGCTGCTGGGCCTTCGGGTGGGGGGACACCTTACCCCACTCTATTTCTGAATGTCTCCTGGGCAGCGGAGCAGGCTGGCATCCAGCTCCCTCGACTGTGTATTAAACTCGCATTAGCGAAGCAGGGTGCCTCTCCAGCCCCGCCTGCTGGGGGAGCTTTCCTTTGTGCCACTGGTGATGAATGTCCAGAGTCTTTTCTTCGTTCTGACCTCCAGATCTTTGGCCCTGGCTGTGCTGGCCAGCAGCCTGATGGGTCCTAAGGAACCAGGGTGACCCCGACCTGTTAGGAAGTTGAAAGCACCCCAAGAACCCTCAGACCCCTGAGGTGTCTGGAACAGTCCGCCCAGAGCCTCCTTCTCCCCAGGCCAGCTACGAGCAGTGCCAGGCTGGGCGCCTGGCTCTGGGAACCTGACAAACACTGGTCATACCTACAGCTGAAGGAGGAGACCCACCACCACTGCCAGTCACACAGCTTTCTATTCTACAGCCCGTTGTTCTAAGTGGGAAATTGAGGCTCAGAGAAAGGAAGCAGTTCTTAAGTGAGTTGGTGGCAAAACTTATACCTGACAAAGAGACTGACAGGCCCAGGCGGGGCAAAGTCACTGGGTACCATTCTTGGTCTGGGTAGCCAAGGCCCTGGTCCTCTCCCCACCTGGCAGGAAAAACCCAGCCAGTGGCAGGAGGCACGGAGCAGGGAGCAGTGGGGTCTCCTCTAACCCCCAGCCCATTAGACTGAGACAGGATGAGCCTGCTGAGCTGATCCTTCAGCAGTCCCTCCCCTTGTGGGTTGTCTGGGGCCAGCACTCCCCAACCCCGGCCCCACAGGCCCGGGCAGAGCAGCTCTGGGAGCCCCGCCGCTTTGTTGTGGACGCCTCCAAGGTCCTGCGGCTGTTTCTCGATGCCCTTCTGTCCGACAGCTGAGGAGGCATCTTCTCACAGAGAACTGCCCGCTAGACAAGTACAAATCTAATTGCAGAAGCCCGCGCCCCATTCATTTTCATTGCTGCTTTGATTTACTTTATTAGCAAACTTCTTTTGTGTGATGACAGGCTTCATTACAGTGTCTATAAAAGACAATCGCTTGCTCTTATCTCTGAAGCTGAGGAGGGAAGAAATGAGCTGTGATGTGCCTCAGGAAACCACAGAGGGTCCCGAGGGGGGCTGCCCCTCCCACACAGGGGACCTGGCCACGCAGAGCTGCAGCTCAGCCTGGAAGGAAGCGACCGGGAAGGGCACAGCTTTTGCAGCTGGCATCTCTGCTGAGAACTATAGTGGAGTTCAAATGCTAATCAGCTGCACCCAAGGGAATAATGTAATAATTGCCACCAATTAATTATCCAGCTTGAGCTGTGTGCTTAGGAGGCACCTGGGCCAGGGTTCTGCACTCAGCCCTTGGGTTAGACAGCACTGAAGTCGGATTTATTTTTTTAATTTTATTTTTTTATGAATTTAGGACAGGGTGTACAGGTTCCGTAGGATCTTACTACATAGATCAGACTCATAGTGATCCTACTGTTTTCAGCCTCCCAAGTGCTGGGGTTACAGGCACACGCTACCATGTCTGTTCTCAATTGCCATCTCAGCGCACCCTGTGGCAGGGCCAGCACGGCAGGCTGGAGATTGAACCCCGGTTGGATTTATTTTTATTGATTTATTTTAAAAAAAATTTATTTATTTATGTGTGTGTGTGTGTGTGTGTGTGTGTGTGGCCAGCTCAGCCCACCAGGGGGCGGGGCTGGCTGGCATGTGGTGCTGGGGGATTGAACCGTGGTCCCTGTGCTTTGCTTAGCTTGTTCTAGGTAGGTGCTTTAGACCACCGAGCCATCTCACCAGCCCCGAGTTTCCCGGTTGGATTAATCCGGGTTCATAAATTTGTTTTTTGTAAACCTGACAGCCTCAGTTTTCTCCTCTGCAAAACGGGATAAGTTAACTATGCGGCAGAGCTCCGAGGGGAGCGGGAAACTGAATGCGGTCAGAGGCTGGAGTGGAGGGCACCGTGAGCTCTCTGCGGGAGGCCAGCTGGACCCGAGACGGCTGCAGGCACTGCTCACAGGCCACGCGACTCCTCCAAAGGGAAGCCCGCGTCAGGATGTACGCATGGTGAAGAGAAGCAGCGGATGCAAGCAGCCTCACCAGCAGGAAGCGACCGCACCCACTCTAGTTTTGGATGTTTCTAATGGTTAATGGACCCAGTTGGTTAAAGAACAGTAGAAGACTTTTATTTTAGTTTTAAAAAGAATTTTGCTTCTAAATTAAAAAATTTTAGATAATGTGGTTTTAAGCAAATGTGTACATAGATTAATACACTAGATGTCTATTTCAGTGAGATCCCTAAGTGTTCATC